TCCACAATTCCCACTGCTCCCACCTGTGCCATGTGCTTCAGGGGAGAGGCCAGAACACAAGCAAGCAATAAAAACATCTAAAACTGAAGAAACAGCGACTTTAGATCTGCAGCCAGAAGGAAAGCAGCCCCTTGGTGTGTTTGCAATGAAATACTGGGGTTTGGGTTTGTCAGCACCGCTGGGTTTGGGGTGTCCCCAGGCAGGAGGGTGCTGGGGGCTCTTGGCAGGGCTCCTTTCTTTTAGCAGGAATTGCAGCACAAGTCTGCACATTCCGCTGCGAGGAGGGAAGGAAATGAACAGGCGGTTGTGGAGTGTATTGGGAAATTTCGGCTCGTCTCGAAAATAGGGCAGGAAAAAGGAAAAACCACCGGCTGCGCGTGGGCAAAAAAAAGTGGAGATGCCGGGGATTGAACCCGGGGCCTCATACATGCAAAGCATGCGCTCTACCACTGAGCTACATCCCCTCGATGAAGGGGGTTTTGCACACAGTGTATACAGCGATAGCGGGAGCCGCACAGCAGGCCCGGCGGCGGCACCGCGGTGACAGCGCGGTCACCCCGCTCTGTCCCCGGAGCCCCGCGCCGCGCCCCGGCCGCGGGGACAGAGCGGGACAGCGGCGGCTCCGCCAGAGGCGGGACCGCATCCTCATAGAGTGGGGCAAAATAGCAAAAACTGTACCCGTCCTCGTTAGTATAGTGGTGAGTATCCCCGCCTGTCACGCGGGAGACCGGGGTTCGATTCCCCGACGGGGAGGTGCGGTAATTTTTGTCCCCGCATGCCGTTTTTTGTGGGCGGCCGGCCCCTCGCGGAGTTTGTTTGTGGCGCTGCCGTGGAACCCCCGCCGGAGCGGCGGGACGAAACCGGCAGAGCCGCCTTTTGTGCCGGGGAGGGGAACGGGCACGCCGCGCTCTCCGGGGTGCGTGCGGAACACTCCGCCGCTGCCGGAACCCGCGGTCTCCCTGGGATCCTCGGAGCGGCAATGGGATCCTCGGAGCGGAAATGCCCGCGGGAAGGCGCGAATCCCCGGACACGCCCGGAACAGGGCGGCGGAACCCGCGCTGAGGGGCGGGCACCGAGCGGGCAGCGGCGCCCAGGGGGGCGCGGGGCGGGGTCGTATCCACGGCCAGCGAGGGCGCTGTCGCCCGCCGAAATAGCTCAGTTGGGAGAGCGTTAGACTGAAGATCTAAAGGTCCCTGGTTCGATCCCGGGTTTCGGCAAACGGGTATATTTTTAGTTCAGTCTTTTTGTTTTTTTTTTCTTTCCTCTCCTTACTGTGAAGACGGTTCTTTTTGCTGCCGAGCGGAGGGAGCGGGGGCTGCTGTCCCTGCGTCGGGCGGCTCAGCCGGTGCCATCGCAGGCGCTCCCTCGTGCGGGATTTTTGCGTCAGGAGCCGCTTCCCAAAGAACTGTGGCGATGGAGCAGATCCTGCGGCCCCGTCGGGCATGACCTGCCCCGCGGGGAGGTGCTTTCCAACTGTCCTCGTTAGTATAGTGGTAAGTATCCCCGCCTGTCACGCGGGAGACCGGGGTTCGATTCCCCGACGGGGAGGTTGCATATATTTTTTTTTCCTTTTTTTTTTTTTCCTTTCCGCAGGGATGTCTCTGATTTCCGACGGAGCAACACCATTCGGTTTTCCGTGTGCGAACCAGGGCGTTCCTGTCTTTTTGAGGGCTGCCTGAGGACCGCGCCAGGCTCTGTACGCTGCAGCGCCCGCTGCGCTGCGGGGCCTGGCGGGGTCTCGGTCCCTCCCCGCACCGGGGCCAGCGCAGCGCGGACCTGGCCGGCGGGCAGGGGACGCCTCGCCGGCACGGGGATGTAGCTCAGCGGTAGAGCGCATGCTTTGCATGTATGAGGTCCCGGGTTCAATCCCCGGCATCTCCACGTGGTCGCTGCTCTTTTTCCTGATTTTTTATGCTGTTTTATCCAGTCAAAGCCACCGCGTCCCGTTAAGCGGCAGCAAACGGAGCGTGCGGCCGGAATGGGCCCACAGTGGCACTTCCCAGCGACAAAAAGCGCTGTTTTTTTGGGGGTTTTTTTGTTTTTTTTTCATTTGGTTCTCCTCAGACCTGTGCAAACACACACGGCTTTTGGTCCCATCTGTGAACTAAGGGAGGCGCAAAAAGAAGGGCAGAGCAGCAAACCCCGAAATGCAGGGGGACAGCGGCCACTCCACACCCCGCAGCCTGGCTGAGGCGCAGCCACAGGGAGCACAGCGGCTCTGCTCCACATTCCCAGAGGCAGAGGGCAAGGACAGAGGCCAGGACACTCGGGAGCTGCTCCTGGCTCTGCGGGGCCCGCTCCCGCCGCTGTCCTGGCAGCGGGAGCAGCTCGGGAAGAGCTCTCAGGAAACAAGCGCCCTGCCTCGCTCTCCTCGGGCTCACGGGGTCTCAGGATCTCCTCTGGTCAAGCTGACCCCGAGATTTATTAAAAGTCTCTCTTCCTCATCCTAGCTGTCGAAGGATTCAGAACTCCTCGGCTGTCGTTCTCAAGGTTCTTTATCATTTCTTATCTAAAACATTTTTTGTCTGGCCTGCCGAGGTCTGTTCAGGTACACTGCCCTCCCAAGGAGCATTGTCTTTTAGACTATAAACTACATCTTCAATATTTACAGCTATGTTCCAATACCTATCACCTGTGTTAGACAGTGACTTTCTACTCTACACCAATCCAAATATGCTAACATTCCCAAGAAGATGGAGGCTAGGAAGAAAAAGGAAGAAGGACAGGACAACGTCCAAATTCCTCCATCTTGTCCCCTAGACCCCCATGGTAAAATTCTTCAAAATTCCACCTCTCACCCTGTGACAACTACTGTTATGCTACTTAAACTTTTGTGACTTGTAATTCTTCATACAAAGTTGGTAATTTGCTCCATGAGTTGAACTCAGAGCCGCGGGGGTCTTCGGCTGCATGCCAGGGTCTCCGAGCCCAGGAAGAAGGACAGGACAACGTCCAAATTCCTCCATCTTGTCCCCTAGACCCCCATGGTAAAATTCTTCAAAATTCCACCTCTCACCCTGTGACAACTACTGTTATGCTACTTAAACTTTTGTGACTTGTAATTCTTCATACAAAGTTGGTAATTTGCTCCATGAGTTGAACTCAGAGCCGCGGGGGTCTTCGGCTGCATGCCAGGGTCTCCGAGCCCCTGCCAGGGCTTTGAGCCATCCAGGGCACCCAGAGGGATGTCCTGTGCTCCGACAACGGGGAAACGGCGTGGCTGCAAGGCTGGGAGCTATGGCACAGCTGAGAGCTTTGGTGCAGAGAGACCAAAGCCCAGGCTGAGCCTGCATGAGGCAGCTCTGATCCACGGAGCTCAGTGGCAGCTGTTCCTCCTCGCTGCCTGGTCACCAACAGCAGCAAATGCAAAGTGACATTTCCTGCCACGCTGGCTGGAAAGCTCCTTGTGCTGTTTATTTACTCGTCTCACTTCCAGTTGTTATTTTGAGCCAGTGTTTGGCTGCAGCGCTGGTGAGTGTGAAGATGCCCGTTGTAAATTACTCCCTGGATCTCCCTGGCAGCTGTACTTCAGGAATGTGCCCTGCGTGTGAATGTAAGAGACAGTTTGCAGTAACAGGCATGCAGAAATTGACTTTTTGTCACAAAACACTTTCCCATGTGCCTTTTTGGTGATTTTCTGACCAGTCCTAAGTGCTCACCTTGTAACTCAAAGAACAAGCTTAACATTATTATTCAGTTTCTGCTGAGGAAAAACCCAGACCTGCAAGGATTCTCCAGTTTTTGATGCTTTTATAATCCCAATGCACAGCATCAGCCACTGAGCACTGAGAAGTAACCAAAGACTTCTGTGGTATTTTTTTTTCCATCTAAATGAATGTTTGAGATTATTATCACTACAGCTGTGGTGAGTGTTAGTACAAACACAAAGAGCAGAGGCCAGAGAGCTCCCCAGAGCATTCTCCTCCATGTCTCAGGCAGACACAGGCACTTTTCCTCAAACCACAAAGCTGTTGCTGGACCTCTGCTCCTTTCCTGCTGGTGAGCAGCCCTGGGTGTTATCAGTGTCCCTTCCATTTTCCGTGGCGCTGCCAAATGAAGGATTTTGAAGGCGAATCGAAGCGAATGGCCCTGCCTGAATCCTGCAGACAAAGCTCCTTTCTGTTCCCAGCTGTGCCTGGAGCTGCTGTGCAGCGGATGGTGCGGAGTGAGGCAGAGCTCTATCAGAACGTGCTCTTTGACAACACAATAAGAAATAGGCGTTATTATTTCTGATTTTGCCCCTGGGTTACAAACTGCATTACAGCTCAGAGGTATACCCCACACACACATTGGTTACCCTGCACGCCATCTGCAGGACTCCATCTCTTTATCCATCGGCCTTTCTTTGTCCCTCACGTTATGACACTCACATCCCCTCTCCACGCTGATCTCCCTCCCCAGGCAGGAGCCCCCTGCAGCCCCCCTTTCCTGGGGTGGTCCCTGCCCTTCCAGGCTGCCCCAGCCTCACCACAGCCGCCTCACACCCTCGGTGCCCTGTCCCTTGTCCCACGGGCACGGTGGCACCGAGGTTCTGGGATAAACCCGTTCCAGCCGTGCCCAGCCCAGCGGGGCTGTGCCTGGGTGGGTGACAGACACCACCGTGCCCCACCACTGTGCTCTCTCACGGAAATAAATCTGGAGGCGTCCTTCGGGATAAAGCCACGAGCTCCTTCCCTCAGGAACCCCCTCACGGCGCGGCCGCGGGCAGAGCCGACCCTCGCCCTGCCCTAGGGGTAGAAATGACGTGTTTATCAAGCAGGGGCGAAACTGCAGGGTTTAACCCCCTGAACACAGTGAAACTTTTCGTGTTTTCTGCTTTTACGAGCGGCCGTGTCTCCAAGTCGGGGTCCCTCGGCTGGCCCAGCCGCGGCCCCGCTCCGGCGGCTCCAGGCCGGCTTTTCCCGCCGCCCGCCGTCCCGCGCGCGGCAGCCGCAGCGCACCCGCGGAGGCGCCGCTCCCTCCGCGCCGCCTGCCCGCGCGCCCTCCTCGCCCACGCAGGAGAGCGGAGGCGCGCGGCGCGAGGCAAATAGTGCGCGGCGGAGTGATCCGAAGGCGGGGGCGGGGCGCCGGGGGCCATATAAGCACCTAGCGGAGGGATGCGTGGCGCACTTGGCGCTGGGTGAGGTTTGTGCTGTCGGCGTGGCCGAGCGGCGCCGCGGTGAGAGCTCGGCGGGGGAGGGCCTAGATACGGGCTGGGCGTCCGGGCGGGAGGGAGGGTGCTGTGCGCTGAGGAGCTGCGGTTGGGGGCGATGGCGGACAGTGATGGCGGGGGGAGGGCTGGGACGTTGCCTTCCCCTTCAACGGCAGCACCGCGAGGCGGTGGCGGGGAAGGGCCGGGGCGAGCGGCCGCTAGCAAAATGGCGGCCGCGCAGGCGCAGCGGTGCTTCAAGATGGTGGGCGCGCGCCTTGGGCGGGAAGGGGAAGCGGGTGGGGGCGGGGCTTGCGCTGTGACGTCACGGCCGGGGCGCAGCCCCCGTTACGGGGAGCAGTCGCTAAAGCACGGCGGGTTTTCCCTCTTCCAGGGAAAAATGCAGATCTTCGTCAAGACCCTGACTGGCAAGACCATCACCCTTGAGGTCGAGCCCAGTGACACCATTGAGAACGTGAAGGCCAAGATCCAAGACAAGGAGGGCATCCCTCCTGACCAGCAGAGGCTGATCTTTGCAGGCAAGCAGCTGGAAGATGGCCGTACCCTGTCCGACTACAACATTCAGAAGGAATCTACCCTGCATCTCGTGCTGCGCCTGCGGGGTGGAATGCAGATCTTTGTCAAGACCCTGACTGGCAAGACCATCACCCTTGAGGTCGAGCCCAGTGACACCATTGAGAATGTCAAGGCCAAGATCCAGGACAAAGAGGGCATCCCTCCTGACCAGCAGAGGCTGATCTTTGCTGGCAAGCAGCTGGAAGATGGCCGTACCCTGTCCGACTACAACATCCAGAAGGAATCCACTCTGCACTTGGTGCTGCGCCTGCGGGGTGGAATGCAGATCTTTGTGAAAACCCTGACTGGCAAGACCATCACCCTTGAGGTCGAACCCAGTGACACCATTGAGAACGTGAAGGCCAAGATCCAGGATAAGGAAGGCATCCCCCCTGACCAGCAGAGGCTGATCTTTGCAGGCAAGCAGCTGGAAGATGGCCGTACCCTGTCCGACTACAACATCCAGAAGGAATCCACTCTGCACCTTGTCCTGCGCCTGCGGGGTGGTAACTGAACCAGCAGGTTGTTGCTTCCAAATAAAAGGTTCCTGCACTTGTTCATTCCAATAAAGCTGTTGCATCTGTAAAAGTTTGTGTCCCAAGTTGCACGAACAGTTGTTCCTGACGTTGCCCAACTCCGGGTCTCTAATAAACAATAATTACGTGGCTTTCCACAGACAAAGGAGTTGCAAAACTGCCTTATGCAAGGCTTCCACATTCCTGGTGGTTGTAGCTAATCCCTCAGCCGTGGTTTTCCTGGGCTTGTATAAGTGTTCTGATACCTGGCTGCAGCTCAGTGCCCGCCTGCAGATGTTGTGCAGCTGTGGTGTTGCGTAAGAGGGGATGTGCAACGGGGAGCTGTAGATGTTCCCCATCAAAAGGCTTTGAGATAGCTCTTGGTTGCCCAGCAACTGCCCTTATTTTGGGATTAGTGGAGGAACAGCAGAAGGGTGATCCCACAGCTCTGTCACAGGCTGGGGAACAGGATGGTCCTGCAGCCCTTGGGCTTGGAAAGTGGGGTGGGAAGTGTAGATCTCTTTAGTTACGGGGTGGACTTGTTTTTTTGTCAAGCTTAATGGCATTAAGCAAGCAGTAATTTCAGATGTATTTACTGGAAATCTGAATGTGCTTCATTCCAGCTGTGCCCCAAATGGAAATGCTGCTGAGCTGAGCTGTCAGAGCAGTTCCTGTGTGCTGCAGAAGCCCTGGCAAAAGGGAAGTTGCCTCTGAAGTATTTGTGTTGGGGGTTGCAGGAGGGGCTGATGAGGAGTTAACCATGGGTGTGTGGAGAGGGAAAAGGGAGAGTGGCACAGAAATGCCTTTTCCAGGAGTGAGGCTATGGACTCACCTGTGGAAAGGGATGTGGTGGGTTAACCATGGATGTGCTGGGTGTGTGGAGAGGGAAAAGGGAGTGACAGAAATGCCTTTTCCAGGAGTGAGGCTATGGACTCACCTGTGGAAAGGGATGTGGTGGGAGCTGAGTAATGGTCCCAGCTGGTGGCTGGCTTCAGGGCACCAGAAGGGATCACACTGCCTGTGTGGGGTAGCAGGGTGTGCCTCCAGTAACACCAGTTCCTGTTACTCGTGTGGCCTGTACGGAGCGAGTGGGGAGCACCAGGATGTGTGCTGTGCTGGAGATAGCATTTGAATGCTAAGGAGCTAAATCCTGTGTGGGTGGCAGCTGGTGCTGTGCCATCCTGGACATCCTGTCCTCCCCCACAGGAGTGCCCCGGGCTCTGCCCACGCTGCCCTGGCTCCCGCTTCCTGAGCTGAACCCCAACAACTGCAGGGAACACTTGGCCCTTGCGTGGCTTTCTGCCCTCTGGGGACAGCAGAATTCCCAAACTGAGCATTTGTCCAGCAGAGCTCCTTAAACACAGATGCAGGGGAGCCTGTCTGGAATGCAGAGAGCAGATCTGCACGTGGATTTGAAGGCAGCCTGACTGCCATCAGGGAGAGCGGAGCAGAACTGCACGTGGTTCTGATTTGAAGGCAGCCTGACTGCCATCAGGGAGAGCTGCAGGAGGACACGGGGTGCTTGATGAATGCCAAAAGCCTCCACAAATCACTACAGAGCCATGCTTTAACAAATCCTTTTTTTTTCAATGTCTCAGTAAAAAACCTTTACAATGTCCTATCTAAAAGCCACGATGCTGTACAAGTCTGTCATGGCCTGGAGCAGGAAGCCTGGAGGAGAAACCCGTGCTGTGACCTCGAGAGCTGGGTCAGCCTCTGCTGGCCCAAGGGAACGGTGTGAAGTTGTGTCAGGAGGGTTGGAATGGGTGTTAGGAAAAAGCTCTTCCACAGGGGCTGGGCTGTGCAGGCATCCTGGGGCTGGCCACAGCACCAAGCCTGCCCCAGTCCAGGATGAGTTTGGACAACACTCTCAGGCACCTGGTGGGATTTTGGAGCTGTTCTCTGCAGGGTTTTGACTTGATCCTCGTGGGTTCCTTCCATCCCAGGGCATTCTGCAGTTCCGTGACCTCTGCAGGGTTTGAGGAACCTCAAGGCTCAGTGTGGCAGTGCCAACGCTGCAGGGGCAGCACCCGTGAGCGGAGACCACAGCTGGGGTGGGATCAACCACACAGCAGCAAAATTTGATGAGAGCAGCAAAGCTTGTTGTCAGCTTTGAGGCTGTGTTCTGTTCTAACCGTGGCAGAACGCGCTGTTCCCGGAGATCTTCTCACGGTCGCGTTCTGCGGCGCCTCAGGGAATCTCCTGGGTTTTACTGGGGATTTTTGGGATTTGAAGAAAAGTTCCTTTCACAGCGTTTCTTTGTGGAAAAATGTCTTTAAAAGTAAACACAGCACCTGCTTTGTGTGGTTCTGAAGGCATTGCTGCTGGGAGAGGGGGCCCATCCCACAGCGCAGACCGGCCAGGATTGAACAGAGACATTGGTTAATTGATCTGGTAATTAAAGAGGCAGCTATCAGGGTAGAAGATTTAGAAGGGAAATAAAAAGACCCAATTAAGTGTAAAGATACAAATGCAAATGTTCCACTGAGGTGGGGGCCATGGCAAGAGGCAGGTGCTGTGCTGGGCCCTGCCTGCTGGCAGCCGTGAGATTGTGTCCTCTCTTTGTGCAGGACCCTGTGTGGCAGGTGGAAGCATTCCAGTTTCCAGATGTGTTAGCTCAGCTGGGACAAGGGGATGGTGTGCGTGATTGATTTAAAACAGGCTGTCACAAACTGGACTGTTTTATTTTCTGCTGCCTTCTAGATGCTTCTGGGGATGAGTCTCAGTGAGGCTTTTATTCAGGGCCATGTTCAGATGCACAAGATGGACAAAAGACCCAGTTTTTTTGAAAAGCAGAGTTGGCTTAATGACAAAAGAAAGGCAGGTTAATGGTGGTGGATGTTCCCTCCTCAGGCAAAACATACATATATATACATATACACATGAATACAAACAAGTTTATGTATTTTTTGATCTAGCACGTAGTGACAGAATAAGAAGGAATGGCTTCAAACTGAAAAAAAAAAAAAAAGGTTTAGATTAGATATTAGGAAAAAAATCTTTACTGTTGCGATGGTGAGGCACAGGGACATATTTCCCAGAGCAGCTGTGGCTGCCCCTGGATCCCTGGCAGTGCCCAAGGCCAGGTTGGACATTGGGGAGCAGCGTGGGACTGGAAAGTGTCTATGGCAGTGGGTGGAACGAGGTGATCCTTAAAGTCCCCTCCAACACAAACCCATTCTCTTCCACAATTGCATGACGGAGAGATATTTTATCTATGGATACATTTCCCTTCTCTCTCCGTTTTACCAATTTGCCCGTTTTTCCGTGCGCGCACACGTGTTTACATTGACGCCACGCTCGCCTTCCCTTTCCCGTCGCGCCTCCCGCGGGAGGGCGTGGCTGGGGGCGTGGTCTCCTGACAGCAGCCCCGCCCCCTTCGGCGCGGCCCCGCCCCCTCTGCCGGGCCGGGCCGGGCCGGGCCGCGGGGCCATAAAGCGGCCGCGGCGGCGGTGGGGCCCGCTCCCGGTTCCGCTCCGCCCCGCCATGGCCGTGGCCCAGCGCAGGCTGTCCGTGGGGCTGGGGCTGGCCGGGATAGCCTGCGCGCTCGTGGGGGGCTGCCTGCTGCTGCTGGGGCCGCTTATCGTCAGGCAGCAGGTCATCAAGGTCAGCAGGGCGCGGCGGGGCTCCGTGAGGGGCGCGGCGGGGCTGGGCTCCGTGAGGGAAGGGGGGTGGGCTCGTGAGGGAAGCGGGATGCGGTGCGGACCGGGATGCGGTGCGGGGTCGGTGGCGGGGCCCAGGGGGGTGTGCTGGAGGCCGGGTGCGGTGCGGGGCTCGGTGCTGTCGGTGGCCGGGTCTCGGTGCGATGCGGTCGGTGGCTGGAGCCGGTGCGGGGCTCGGTGCGGTGCGGGCTGGGGCTGGTGCGCGTTTCCCTTGTGCGGTGCGGTCCGGAGAGCCGAGCGCTGGAGATGGAAGCGTCGCTGCTGCAGCTCCAGCAGCCTCAGGCTCCTACTCTGGGCAAATGCGGGTTTGGGGTGTTCCGCCCTTGGTGGCAGCCAGCGTGCCCGGAGTGAGCAGGTGAACCACCCCTGGTCAGCGAGGGCTCTTTGCATCGCTGGAATTAGCTGGGGATGCAGGGCTTGGCAGAGCATCACCCTGAGCACCGACGCTTCCTCCCTTCCCTCTGCCTCTACCTGCAGCACCAGTTATTCCTTTCATACGTAGATGAGCACGCTGCCGGGCTCACAGCGAGATGCTTTGGAAACAGGAGCGCTCCAGAGGAGCCTTGTGCGTGGAGCAGCCTCAAAGTTATCCTCTCTCCTTCAGAAAGAAGTCCTTCAGACTGAAAGCCTGAAGAATTGCTTATCTGAATACCTCTTTTATCCCCAGGAGAGGTGCTGAGGCTGAAGAGGGTTTGTCCCCAAAATGTGGGGCTGTGGATGGGGTTGTTGCTCTGTTCAGTAACTGCTGCACAGTTTTGTGAACCAGCACTCCTGTCCCTGCTGCTGGGACACCACTTACCCTGCTGTAACCCAGAGCTCATCCCCCCATTCGGCCAAACCTTTTTCTCCCTGTCCAAGGCAGATGTGCTCCCTGCCTTGGCCTTTCTCCAAGCTTCCACCTACCCAGGTCAGCCCCTGGAAATTTGCTTCTGATGAAAGAGATGAACAAACACACCTCATAGCCAATGGCTGGCGCTGCGTGTGGCGCAAAGTCTCTGCCGAAAATGACCTACTTAAACATACCCCTTGGAAGTGCTGCTGGCTGGGCAGAGCCAGACAGTCCCGTGGATTAAACAGCAGAAAATCTTTGTTCAGTTTCAGGACATCAGAAACTGGTACCTGCCAATAAAAGGCTGAATGGCCCCTGCAGGACAGAAGTGGCATTTTTTGTGTAAAAACCTCTCTGCCCTCTTTTTAGCTAATCCTGATTTTTTTTTCAACCTAATTAGCTAAGTCCTGATAATTTGCAGTGAGAACAGAAGATGAAGAAAAGTTCAACCCTTGTTTCTCCTCCCTTCACCTCAAGTCCTTTCTCCCCATCTTCAACATGACACAAAATTACCCTGAGCTCGTTTTTTTTCCCATTTCACATTAAGCCTAAAAGCTGAGTGATGAGGGGTGATGAGAAACATTCAGGCCTTTACTGAAACTCCTGGGCTGGTCTTCAGAGTAGTGTGGGTAAGAGGAGCTTGAAGGGCTGGGGTTGGGCAGGTAAAGGCTGGTTTGCCCATCCTGGCCCCCTGAGCTCTGTCAGGATGGTGTATCCTGATGGAAAAGCACTCAGTTATGGAGAGGTGGTTGTTTCAAGGATATCTTTGGGTGAAGTCTGCAGGGAAAGCAGGGAGCTTCGAGCCTGTCCCATTTGCACTGGGCTGCTTGTGGGGTTGGCCCTGCAAAACCTGGGGAACATTGCTTTTCTGGAAGCATCTGGAATGCCACGGACCCGCCCAAGGCGTGATCTTGCACACAGATGATCAGCTCACCCCTCTGCCAGCCGTGGCTGCTCCCCTTAGAGCTCAGCTGCTGTCCTGGCTGCGGGAGCAGCACGGTCCTTGCTGAGGTAGGAGGGTGCTGAGAGGATGTGCAGGGTGAGGTCTGGCTGGCACCTGCCTTAGCTGCTCCTCCCAGTCTGCAGGGGAAACCTCATCTCTCGGTTTTACTGAGCAGGGTGCCTCCCTCCCTCCTGGAGAAGCAGGATTTGGGTGCTGCTCTCCTGGCCCTGTCTGCAGCTGATGGGCAGTAACCAGTTCCTTTCAGTTCCTTGGGAACAAAGATCAGCCTGGTCAGGAGGGGTCAAACAACTCAATGTCCCTTTGCAGCTCATCTAGTTGACAAATACTCTGGTTTTATTTCAGACATGTGACTGTGTTTGTTTTGACCTAAAAATAGCTTCATTTTAAGGCTACCCCGTTGTGGGGACTTTAGCAGCACCTTGAGCTGGTGAGCCCAGGTGGGGAGGGAGCTGGGAAAGGCAGCAGGGAGCTGGGATGTAGCTCCATCTGACTGGGTACTTATTATAAAAATAAATGCATATGCAACAAGTGGTCAAGGGAGTGCAAGGCAGAACAAGCAATTAAAGGAAAGGAGATGTTCTTGATCATAATCCATTCAGCGCTTGGGAATCAGCGTTGTAAAGCAGGCCAAACAAAAATCTGTCCTCTTACTGCTTCTTTGCCATGAAATCCTTGAGGCTGGCAAAATTAGAGCAGTGTGTGGTGGTGGGAAGGGTGTGCTAGGTGAGATGGGTTACACAACATTGTGGAGATGTGTTCCCAGGGATAGGGCTTGGATCAGGGGCTTGCAGAGGCCTCCTGTTCACAGGTAGCTCAGCCTTGCCATAAAATTCCTCAAGAAAGAGGAGGTGTTATGGGGAAACCTCTGGCACCTCAACTCCCTGTGTCAGCAAATATGTGCCCAGTCAGATGGAGCTGCTCCAGAGCAGGAGCTGCTGAGCTGCACCAGCACAAAGCCCACATCCCTCCTCCTCTTGACAGATCAACCCCACTTCCATAAGCTGGCTGGGTTATCTAAGCAGGGACAAGGATCTGTGCTTCCAGAAGAAAAGATTATGGTGGACCACATCCAAAGTGGATGTTCAAGAAGGAACAAGCTCTTGCCCTCCTGCAGCACCCTGGAGGCAGGGAGGGAGTGGAGGCAGATGTGCCAGCTCTGAGCTGAGGAGGGCTTAAGTTGTCTTTGAGCTGCTGCAGGCATTTCCCAGCACACAGGACAGTGATATGGGAACACGATTGTGCCTTGCCTTTGACCTGCCTCATAATCAGCTGTGAGTCAATGCAGGCTGGCAGCTGAAAGCAGGCAGGGGTGTCCTGTGCTGTGCTGTTGGGACACAGCTGCCATCCCAATTTTCCATCTCCTTTTTGGGAATCTGGTGGGCTCCCTGCTGGTACCCAAGCAGTTGAGGATAGCTGTGCCGCTTCACCTTGCTTGCATTTAGCTGTGTGGAGCTGCCAAATGCATGAGCAAAGGCCTTTGGGACAGACAAGTAAGACATGAATAAATCAGAGCCAAGTCTGCAGCACATCAAAACCCTCGGAAACCCTGTGGGTAGGATTAGAAAAGTTAAGCCTGAATAAATAAGCCAGCAGATATCCTGGCTTCTAAGCATAAACCTGATGCTTCTGCACACGCAGGAGTTCTCACTGTATATCTGGCTGGGTTTCAGTCTGCCAAAAACACCTGGATCCTCTAGAGAGCATCTGTAACTGCCACCTTCAGCTGTGCCTTACACTGAGCTGAGGGTGGATGTGTTCACCTGCAGCCACAGAGCCCAAATGTTGTGTCCCCTTATTTTTTTGCCTTACAGAACGTCAGGATCGACCCCAGCAGCATCTCCTTCCAGATGTGGAAAGACATCCCTGTTCCTTTCTACTTGTCAGTGCATTTCTTCGAAGTGCTGAACCCCAAGCAAGTGCTGCGGGGAGAGAAGCCAGTGCTGAGCCAGCGTGGGCCCTACGTGTACAGGTCAGGTACCACTTGTGCTCCAGCTTGGCATGAGCCTGACCACTGTGCTGCCTGCCAGGCTGCTGGCTGGCTCCTCTGGCAGGAGGACAGGGCATCAGCAGGCTCGCTGAGAGCCCAGGGGCACTGGGTTTTAAAGGGTGTGCTCTAATTGCTCTGATCTTGCTAAAGACACAGGTAGGGCCTCTGGTCACTGAGACAGAGAGATTGGTGGGAGCTCCACTGAGTTGTGCAGCTCAGTCTTTTTCTGGGGCCTGTTGGGCAGGCAGACCTGGGGTGATTCAGTCCAAACATGGGTATGAGGGGTGTTGGTGTGGTGGTGGGTGACCCTGTCTTCAGAGTGCTCTCCTTTTGTCTTCACTGTGCATTTAAGAGCCCAGCTCTTGAGCTGGAGCTGCCTCAATATCAAACTTCACGGGCCAAAGTCCCTGCCTAAGGTGAGACCCAGAACATGCCCAGAATGAGTGCCCTGGTCATGGGAACCAGTATGGAGCTCTAACACCGGGTCAGACCCACACACAGCAGGGCTGGGTCTGTTTGCCATGGCTCAGGATGCTGGCTGAAGCCCCAGGTGCTTCTCAGCACCTAAAAGGGAAGCAGTGATTGATGTTGAACGTGTGAACCTCCCCACAAGCAATGATCTTCAATATATTAATACCTACAGTAATGGGGTGAGGTTGAACAGCAGCCTAAGCAAGCTCATGTGGGAAGATTACTGGTTAATCCAAAGCTGTTGGAGCAGTGTGAGGGGACACCTGCAGTATATATGTGCCCTTGTTTGCCCCGGCCTTGCCAGGTCCCCCTGTGGGTTCTGTACGTTGCCATCACATCGCTCTCTTGGCTTGGGGAAAAGCTTCACTTACTGTAAATAAGAATAAACAAAGGGGCAAAGCTTATTAGTGTCCTTGTGTTCCTGCTGAGCAAGATTAGTGCCCTTCCCTAATGTGGGCTGTAAAACAGAGGCTCCACAGTGAAGGACTTTGTTTTTGCTGGTGAGCTGAGCTTCAGTTCCTCCAGGAGCAGTAACAGGCTTGTGATGTTGGGGACAGCCTCGCAGTGCTGCAGAGCACTGCAGCCTCCGTGAGGCTGGGGCTGCCCCTGTGCATGGCTGAAGTCCAGCAGCACTGGGCTGATGCCTAGAGAGGCTGCCTAGAATAGAGGCTACACAGAATTAAATGAATAAAGCAGGGATTTATTAAAAGGCCTTCAAAGGATGCACCTTGGGCAGTGCAAGAGCCTGGCCAAGGCTCCACCCAAGGTGGATGGCATGTCATGAATTTTCACACTTTTATAAGTTTTGGTCCATTTCCATATTGGGGTTCATTGTCCAATTCTGACTCAGGTGATGCAGTCCCATCCTCCCAGTTTGCTTTCCTCAATTCCCTGTTGTTTTACACTTTTTGGACCTGAAGCTGCTGTGGTGTCCTTGTTTCTGGGGCTGGAAAAAGATTTTTTTCTCAGGCTGAGCTGTGAGGAGAACTTGCTAACACTTTATATGAAGTTCAGAGCTACATACTAATGCAGTACAGAATGTGGGAAACATGAAAGCTAAAAGGCATCAGGCAGTGTGCAGGACATGGATGGCCTGAAGCTCTGAGGAGCAGAAGTGCCACGGTGCTGCGTGGAGGATCAGGCTGCCCTGATCCCAGGAGCCATCACATTTGCTTGGGAGCAGATCACTGGAGGAACATGGGGCATCTTGGCTGGTCCTCTCGTGTGTGCAGGTTGTTTTGGTGTGTGGGTTGCTGTGCCAGGCACAGCATGTCTGGGCACCTCTCTGCTGTGCCTGGCCTTTACAAGCGGGTGAAGCAACAGAGGAGATTTACAGTTTTGTCTTCAATTTCTTGGGTAACGAGTTGGGAAGAAACACTTTGTGTCTGCAGGAATCCAACCTGTCAGGGATGCCTGGCTCTTGGGCTGCCCTCTCCTCCTGCCAGACCCTAGCCCTGGTTGGGGTGGGGGGTTTATATCTGTTCCCACACTGCCTCCCGAGCTGCCCCATGGCTCCTCACTGGGGTTTGGTCTCCCCCAGCAGCTTGTGCAGCCCATTCTGGCTCGAGGGGCTCTGCCTGGGGATGGTTCCCATGATCTCCCATCTCTTTGCAGGGAGTACAGGTTTAAAACAAATATCACATTCCATGACAACGATACTGTTTCCTACCTGGAGTACCGGCACCTTTTCTTCCAGCCAGACTTGTCCAATGGCACGGAGGACGAGTACATTGTTGTGCCAAACATCATGATGATGGTAAGTGCTTCTTGCCTGGATGGGTTCCACCTTCTGAGCTTGCAGGGAGGGTGGTGATATCCAGCACGGAATTACTGAATCACTTTCTTGTAGGGCTTGAGGCTGATCAAGCAATGAGGTGGTTAAGCTTATATAATGTAATTTTCTGCTTTGTGGGTGTTAATTGTTCTGTTAGGTTGCTACTGTTCCAAAACCAGAGTGTGCAGAGCAGCTGGTCTTGAGTCTGCAACTTCATCTGAGCATCCTGTGGGGGAATCAAGCCTGTGAGCCCTCAACTGCTTTCTTCCCCAGCTGGGAATAAATGAAGAACCTCAGTCTGTCCAGAGGATTCCTCTGGGGCTATAGATGGGAGCAGCAGAACGGTTTTGGTTAGCACCAAAAATGCTTAATCTTTGCTAAAGATGGGCCTCTCATCCCAGCCATTTTTCTTTCTCAGGGAGCAGCTGTGATGGTGGAAAAGCTGCCAAATTTTGTGAAGCTTTTACTGAGTGGAGCCCTGGCTAGCCTGAAGCAGGAGGCGTTCATGAACCGGACGGTGCGGGAGATCATGTGGGGGTATGAAGACCCCCTGATAGATGCAATAAATATGATTATTCCTGGCCTGCTCCCTTTCAAGGGGAAGTTTGGAGTATTCATGGATGTAAGTGTTGCTTGGGAATGCTAAAATCACAGCAATATTGATCTTGGGGACAGCTCAGACACTCAGCTGAGTAGAAGCTGAGTAGCACGCAGAGTCAGTGAGGTGTTGTGTGCTGTAAATTGAGCAATCATTCCTTCTCTCTGCAGTTTAACAACTCCAACTCAGGGCTGTTCACAGTAAACACAGGCATGAAGAACATCAGTCAGGTTCACATGGTGGATTCATGGAATGGGCTCAAGAAGGTGAGTGCCTGGCAGCCAGCCTTGGATAATGGGGAGTGCCTGATTGAAAGCAAGGTTAGCTGAAAGCTCTGGGTGTTCTTGTGCATGGGTCAGGTGTGAAGAAAAGTTTCTACAGGGCTTCAGGTGCTGCAGCTTCCATTCTAGCAAGTTTCCAGGAGGCAGCCATGTGGCAAGGGGCTTTTCAGGAAGCAATAAATTAATCTCCTCATGGGTTTTTCACTTGCACTCCCTTACAGTGCTGTTGGGGCTGGCTGCTTCTCATAGTTGAAGTCTCAGGCTCCTGTGGCCTGTGTTGGAGGTGTTAAATACTCTTGTTAAAGGATGCTTTACTCTTCCCTTGTGGAATTCTGCTCCTGACTAAAATCACTGAATGTAGAGCTCATCCTCTGGGGGCAGAGGGATCTTGTCCATTAATTGGGTAGATGTTTGGCTCACAGAATCATGGAGGATGGAAAATATGCTTAAGATGGGACAGATCTTTGGTGCTGCTGTGGAAGCAGTGTGGGGTGGTGGATATTCCATGCAGGGGTGGGAGCTGACTCCAGCAAGCTCATCCTTCTGAGGTCTTCTCTCTCCACCTGTCCCACAGGTGAACTACTGGCGGAGCAGCCAGTGCAACATGATCAACGGGACAGCAGGGGAGATGTGGCCACCCTTCATGTCCCCAACCTCCCTGCAGTTCTACAGCCCTGATGCCTGCAGGTGAGGCCACAGCTGCCAGCCTGTCCCCATGCAGGTGGCAGGACATGCTGCACCCCTCCTGCAGAGGGCTCAGGAGTTGTTCCTGCAGTTAAAGTTCAGCTGCAGTTTGGGTCTGCATTATCTCTGAGCTTTGCAAACAGGGTAGTTGTCCCACTATCAGCATCTTGGGGTGTCCATAAATACCTTCCAGATCACTGCAGATGTCTAGCTTGCCCACTTTTAATCAGTACAAAAGGACTAGATGTGGTTATCTGATGTAGATGAGATGTGGGCAGTTAGAAGGAGAAGTAAGGGTTGTAAGAGGGAAATGCAACTGTAAGTGCAGAACTCTTTCAGCTGACTAAACCCGTGGGGAAATTATGTCTGGGAGGAAGCCACCATTTCCAAGCTCTTTCTTCTATTTTTTTTTTTTCTTTTTTTTTTTCCTTTTGGCTTTTAGGGACACCCTGACCTTAGCTGATCACCCAGGGGTTAAAGTACCCCACAGAGCTGGCCTGTGTGCCTGTGCCTGAGGCTGGAAGGAGGGGAAGCAGGCACAAAACCCCTGTCCCTAGCTTGGGGAAGATAATGCTAATTCCAGCTTTGTAGATAGTGCTGCAAAACAAGCAAGTGCTCATGTTGGATAGGGAACAATGAGCAGTGAACAAACAGAGCTGAGCAATAGCACAGGGATTCCTCTGCACAAGGGACATCAGTAAGCACCAGAATGACCTGGAGTTAGGAATTTACAGGGAAGTTTACCTGTAACTGAAGTTTAAACACATACCTGTTCCTGTCAAACTGCAGGAACCCCTGGAACAGGGCATGCTTCCAGGCAAGGCTTCCAGTGAAGTGGAGGAAACCAAGCTTGGTTTCTTGTTGGCACAGGAAGTTCCTGTCACACAGAACTGTGGGGAAGTGGCTCAGCTTCTCAGACAGTGCTGTCTTCTCCCCAGCCCTCTGCCTCAGCCTCTGTTGGCACAGTCACAAACACTTCTTGGTGGGCTCAGAGCATACCTGCCTCTGCAGGGATCTCTGTGCACACAAAGTGCAGCTGATGCTGAGAGGCAGCCACCAAGGTTTTGTCCTGCTGATGGGCTACAGCAACCTCCTTGCTGGGAGGTGAGCAGAGCCAAGAACTGCTGAACATGCCCTGAATCCCCCATCCTTGTTCCCAGCATCAAAGGGACCATTCTCTGTAGGAATGAGCATCCCCTGGGCCTGCCCAGGCTGTCCTGGCAGCCCACTGTGACCCACTCACCCATTCTGTGATTCTCTGATCCCTGCAAGCCTCACTCAGGTGTGAAGGGGGCAAATTTTTGACCTGGAGACTTGCATCAAACCTGGCCAACAATAATGCAACACAGTATCAACAGCCTCTAGTAGCAGGAAAAAAAAAAATCTTGCTGTGTTACATGGGGAAATTTTCCATTCCCCTGGCAGTCTATTGCTGGAGAGATTTATCCAGTGTCCCTGCCCTGTAACGGAGCTCCTGGGAGCCAAGGCTTGCATAAAGTGGGTATTATCTCTTGGAGAGCAGCCCTGGGGATTACTACATGCCTTTAAACAAATCTCAGCTGCATGTAGCAAACAAAGTCATAATCCTGTGGTTTCTCTCCCTAACTAGTCCTGACCAACCCTTTAGGTGTGCTTAAAACATGAAAAGCAAAAGGCTTTAAATACTCATTTCCCATTCCCCGAAGCACTGCTGAGGGTTTATCTTGATCTCAAAGTCTAAGTTACATTGCAACTGCGTCTTATCCAGCCAAGATAAGAACCCACTTCTGTGCTGGGAGCCTGTTGGCTAATCCTGATCCTTCTGCACTGAACCCCTTGCAGATCCATGACACTGGTGTACGAGCAGTCTGGGCACTTCCAGGGCGTGCCCACCTATCGCTTCGTGGCACCCAAAACCCTCTTTGCCAACGGCACAGACTATCCACCCAACGAGGGCTTCTGCCCCTGCATGCAGTCTGGCATCCAGAACGTCAGCACCTGTAGGCTCAGTAAGTCCTTTCCCCCCCTGGCTCTCCTTAGTGGACCAGTATTAAATTTCAGATGCAGTAGAAGCTTAGTTGTCTGGAAAAGCCAGCTCTAGTGCCTGCTGAGATGGGGAGAAGTATGGTGGGCTCTGTTTGCACTCCCACAGGCCTCTCAGCAGTGAGGGAAAGAGGGAAAACCCTTGTGCCTAGCCTTCAGTGGCCAGCCCTGTGAGAGCCTGGCATTTGTGGGAATGCCCAAGGCTACGGTGGGAGCATTACATCCCCTGGGCTGGTGGGGGGAGCAGGGAAGAGGCAGCCCATGCAGCTCCCAAATTAAATGTTAACTTTGGACCCTGAGTGTGTGTCTGACAGTCCAGGCTGGGTGCCCTAACTCGAGTCTGGGAACAGGGAGTTGCCATGGCATGGTGGTGGGAGAGAGTGGGTGGTCCTGAACCCTCCCAGATCAATGGAACAACCTGCAGGGAGGGAGGGGAAGGTGATTGCTGGCTGGGAGGAGAAAATATAAAAGCCTGTTCAGAACAAGTACTGCAAGGGCTTAAAAACTTCAAAAAAAAGCTTTTAGGTGGGTGTGGAGCAGCTTAAGATGCCTTTAATCTCATCCAGATGCGCCGATGTTCATTTCCCACCCTCACTTCTACAACGCTGACCCATCCCTGGTGAACGCAGTGGAAGGCCTGCACCCCAGCAAGGACCAGCACGGGCTTTTCCTGGATGTGCACCCTGTGAGTGAGCCCACCAGGGTCCTCCCCTCACCCCAGGGACCCTGCCATCAGCTGAGTGGTGGCACCACTCTGCTCTCGTGGCACTGATCCGAGCAGGTTCCATAGTGCAAAGACTGGCGAGGGCGTGCAGATAAAAATGTCAAAGCCATAAACTAATTGAATAATTAGCCTGGCTTCTAGAGAATTGCAGAACTAATTATAAACATAATTGTTTCGATAAGCACAGTGAAACTCTTTCCACTGACTCAGGCCTATAACACCAGGAGGTGTATCTGGCAGCAGCCCAGCTCTGCCCCAAATCTGCCAATGCACACTGCCATGGGAACTGGCTGGCAGAGTCTGAAGACCACGCTGTGGCTCAAGCTGGCACCTCCATTTTTGGGCTGGCTTCTTCTACTCTCTCAACCTGCCCATCTGGAACTTTTGCTTTTGCAGTGTTTTTTGTTTTTTTGCCTGCTGCTGTGTTACACCCCCCCTGTAGCCACAGTGAGGGTGAAGTCACCACTGCAGAGGGCTTATCTGGGGTGTCCTGAGGTATCCCTGTCCCAGCTGCTGATGGCAAAGGGACTTTGGGATTTTCCACCCACAGCCTGCGTTGTGCGAGGTCAGTTTTTCTAAATGTTCAGTGATATTTGCTCAAGCAAAAAAAAAAACATGTTTCCCTCTTGAGGTAAGGTAAACTGTGTGTCTTATCTAGACATTGGGTTCTGACTGCTTTTCTTATCGCAGTTATGAAAATCTAATTAAGTTTATTACAGTATCAAACATCTACTGATAAAAGTACAGTTACCTACACTTTTATCTAGCTGCAGGCTGCTGACTACAAACAGGGACAGTCCAATTAAAATTCTCTGCTTGTAAAAATGTGTTGCAAAACTGCAGAGTCATGAGGAACCAATGTCTTAATGGGTGTCAACAAGACCAGCTTTGAAGTGTGATGTTTTTCATGGGCTCAGAATGTTGGACAGGGTCTGTTGGTCCCAAGAAGTCACTGATGAACTGGTTGTTCTCTTCCTCTGCAGATGACTGGCATCCCCATGAATTGCTCCATCAAGCTGCAGCTGAACCTGTACATAAAGCACGTGTCTGGAATCATGTAAGTGGTCACCTCCTAGAAATGTCCCTCTGCCTTCCCTGAGCAGGGAGTTCTGCTGGTGCTGAGCTTGCTGCAGAGTTTGCTCTCTCCAAAGCTTTACCATGAGCAGTTGTCCTGTTGCTGGAGCCAGCAAACATCAGCCATTCCAGTGACCACAAGTTCCATCCTTTATCAATGCAGAGTGCCTGTTTGCTCAGCTGGGGCAGTGTCCCTGCCCCTCACCAGACAGCTGGAATGTTCCTCCTGGTGGGGCAGGAGCTGTTCACCTCCACTGTGCTGCCTCTCAGGAGTTACCTGCAACGTGGAGAGGCAAAACCCACTCTGCCTGTGTTCAAAAGACACTTCCAGCTCTATGGAAGCAAACAGGAGGTCTCTGTAACCAAACTGTGTGGTGCCAGGTGTTAAATACTAGCAAGGGTGGGAGTGTGCTCTTGCTGCTTGGGCTGGGGGGAAACACCTGCAGACAGCCCCCATGGTGCCACCCAGGTGACTGAGAGGAACTTTAGCATTCTGCTTCACTGAGTTTCATCTCCCTGGAGCCCAGGTTTGGGATGGCACTTCCTGCTGTCCTCAGGCAGCTAAACCCATGGAAGCATAAGCATAAAGCACCTGGTCCCCCAAGGAGCAGCTCACTGGAGCAGCAGGGATTGCCACCTCCTTATGGTTTCCTGGCCACTGTCAGTCTGTCAGACGTGTCCCCTTAGGAAGAATTGTGCTGCTAATTGTGACCTGATCAGCCATAAACCTAAGCTTGTGTTTCTTTTTGCCTTTTCTTCCCCCCAGTCAAACAGGGCAGATTAAGCCAGTGGTCCTGCCGCTGCTGTGGTTTGCAGAGGTGAGCTGCCTTCCTCAGCCTGATTCTGCAGAGCCTCTCCTGCTTCCCTATCACCCAGTGCTGGGGAAACTTCACTTTGGATAAAGCTTTAAGCCAGCCAGACTAATTAAGCACCAACAGAAGGCTTTTCAATACTTGGCTATGCCATTAATCCCTCTGAGCTGAACAAACCCTGCACTATACTTGGTAAATCTCTGGCTCTGCCCTGGATGTGGGGTTAAGTGGGGCCCTGGACAGAGCTGCCAGCATCCCTGACCTCCTGTGGGCCAGGGAGTGCAGCTCCAGCTGTGGGTGCACGTCCAGCTGACTCCTGCTATTCAGTAAAAGCTCTTAACCTGACTGAACCTTGCATAAATCCCCTAATTTATGCTGGGAGGTGGTGGGAAAGGAATCATGCAGCTTGTCTGTGTCAGCCCTGGACGGGAGGGAGATGCCACTGACAATCTGCTTTTCTGAGCAGAGTGGATCCATCGAAGGCTCAGTCCTGAGGCAGTTCTACACCAACCTGGTGCTGCTCCCGTCGGTGCTGGACTACCTGCAGTACGTCCTGCTTGGCCTGAGTGTCCCACTCATTGTCTCAGCAGCTGTCCTCATGGCAATGAGGAAGGTAAGAACCTGTAGGTGCCCGCTGGGAAGTGCTGTCAGTCAAATCAGACTCAATCAGAGGCTGTAGTTTGGGCTGCCAATCTAACCTGTCTGAGGAAACACTGGCTGATGCCACCAGCAATCTCCTAGTGGTGCCAGGTGCCAGGAGACAGCAGCAGGACTTCCTTAGCCTTCTAGAAACTGGGCTGCAAATAGATAACATGAAGCATTTTTGGTGCACAGCGGTGATGGATGTGGCTTCCTGGAGGAGCAGGTATTTCTCAGCTCACCCAGCTAATGAAGAAACAATCCTAGTTTATCAGCCCAGCCTCCACAGAAGGCAGCAGCAGGTCTGTGCCCTTGCACAGATCTGCATCTCTGCAGGGTCCCAGCGTTTTTCCAGTCAGAACAGAGCCTTCTCCAGAGGATGGAGCTATCTGAACACAGCCTGTTGAGGGAAATGCAGTTGCTGTGTTCTTGCAGAGGGGGCACAGCCACTGTGGCTGCTTCTCAGCCCAGCACAGATTCTGTATTTCCTTGAAACGCTCCAAAGAGCTCTGGAAGGGAAACCCTCGGAGGAGCCTTTGTGGATCTGGGCTTGCTGAGAAGTGAAGACCTTTGAAGCCTGCTGGCAGCTGGGCTGTGGGGCAGGCAGTGGGGTGAGGCTGAGCTGGGCTGTCAGGACTGAACATGAAACAGCCAGAGCACTCAGTGCAGCTCTGTGGCTCTGGCTCCACAGTGATCTGGTAGCACTAAGCTCCCTGCCAGCTTTAGTTCTGGGAGTAGGGATCTGACTTCCTACCCCAACCCTGTATCAAAGGAAGCTGATTTAGCTCTGCCCTGCAGTCAGGTGGCTTAGGCTGGCTCTAAAGCTGCAGAGGTGGAGAGGCAGTTCTTGGGATGAGAGCAGGCTGAGGGGGAGCCCGTGAGGAGCTTCCTTTCTTTGCTCAGCTGCTTCCTGCCCTCCCTGGAACTGATGCAAACCCACCTTGAACAATGCCAGGGTTCTCGGAGTACCACGTAATTGGATTTTAATCAAGTCTGCAATTACTTAAGTGACTTAAACACATGATCCCAAATCGCCTTGTTCCTCCACACACTTCCCTGCAGGGTGGGAGTGATGCTAGGGCCCAGCATGGAGCTCAGAGCTCAGCACCAAGCCCTCACTGTGCTTCCAGGATGGTCCTGGAGTGAACTGCTCCCCTTCAGCACACGTGAGTGGTTGCTGGCTGGCAGACAGGCTGCCCTCTGCTGCATGAGCCCAGGGGCTCTGAAAAAGGTCTGGGCAGCAGTTTCTAACACCTTGTGCAGCCCTGAGCTGGCATTTCCTCACCCTGCTTTGTGCAAGTCTTAATTCCTGGTATCAAAGAGATTTAACCATGCTGGAAAGGGTCAGGAAGAAAAGCTGGATTTTAAACTCATTGAAGCCAGCTGAATATCTGCTTGTGAAATATCCCAAACCCAGGCATAAGCCAGCTGTGTTTCTGTGCTCAGCCAAAAGAGTCTGAAGTGTTAGAACTAAAAATCAGCGTCAGGAAGTGCCTGGCTACCTGGAAAGTGGCTAAAAAACCTCAATGACTTCACAAATCTCTAAGAAAGCTGCACAACAACTCCACCTAATGAGTAGATAAGAGGTTGTAAACTGGAAGCCAGCGATTTGCAGCCAAGGTGTGTTCCTCATTTGATTGAAGTGTTGCTGATCTAGCTCTGATTGCTTAATCGTGCACATTTCTGCCTCCTGAAGGCACAGGCGATGTCAGAGGGGACACTGAGCCGGGGACATTGTCCTCACCTTCACGTGTCTGCCAGCGTGCAGGGCTCCCTGAGCCCAGCTCCTCCCTCAGGTGTCTTGTGTGCCTCTGGCTTCTGGAGGGAGCAGTGTGCTCTGAGGCCAGTGCAGATGAGGCACTTAAAACACTTAAATCTTAGTCTAGTTTATAGTGGAGCCAGTTTGAAATGGATCTGTTGGACTCACAGCTCTGAAAAATGCATAATCTGTGTAAAATACCCCCAGATGTTGGAGCTCTCTGCCGTTGTGGCATAATGTGTGGTGACACTTCCTAAAGGCAAACAGACCATTTTAAAACTGGCTTGACATTGAACAAAATCTCAAATAGGACTTAGCTTAACCTAAATTTCAAAATCTTCATTAATAACTAGATTCTAGTTAAAGAGTGATTTCTCAAATCTCCTCCGAAAATTGGAACCCTGATGAAATCCATGTCAGAGTGCACCATAAACCAGACTGATTGTCTTCTAGGAGAAATGCTCTTTATTTTGGAGTAGCAATAAAAAGAGCTCAGACAGTAATAAGGCAAACCAGGCCACCTCTGCCAAAAAGCTGCCTGCGGTTAAGGGGACGGTGTTGCAGGAAGCCAGACTGTAGGTGGGTACCCAGTCAAGGTAACATGCTTTTCTTCATCCTGATTTGATTAAACTTCACTTAAAACCAATCAAATGAAACCTTTGCTGTCCCCATCTCCCAGCCGTGCCCTCCTGGCGAGCTTTGATGGAGCAGTGTTGTCTCATGGCTTTATTTGGGGCAATTTTAGATGTCTTAATACTGGCACTTAACCAGGTTGCAAGCACATGCTCTTATTGTTTCTCCTGGTGTACCTGATCTGCAGCCCTAATAATGTCAGCAGGAATCAGGGGAAAAGTAGGATTGGTGTGAGGAAATACTTTTCTTGCCTGTTTTCCCCCCATCTCTGAGTGTTTGAGTTCCAGAGGTAAGTTTTTTGAATGGGGTAACAGAGGTCAGTTCACTGGTGGGTGTCACCCCTCCCCTCAGCAGAGAGGCTTTCAGGAGGGAATTTCTGATGTATAAAATGTCTGGGTTTGTATTACAGGAACACAAAATCCCTGAGTCGTTGAGGTTGAAGGGACCTCTGGAGGTCATCTATCCCAATCCCTCTGCTCAGGCAGAGTCACCTAGCTCAGCACCATGTCCAGATGTCTCTTAATGTCTTCAGGAGTGGAGATTCCCCAGGGCAACCTGTTCCCATTTTTACAGTTTTCACAGGGGAAAAAAAGAAAAAAAAAAGAAAAAAGAAAAAAAAGTATTTCTTAATGTCCAGATGGAATCCCCTTTAAGTTTTTAAGTGTCCCTTTGCTCTTGTCCTGTCCCTGGACACCACCAAGAAGAGCCTGGCTCTGTAACTACACCCTCCCTTCAGAGCCTTGTTTTCAGTGGTAAGATCCCCCTGAACCTTCTCTTCTCGAGGCTGAACAGGCCCAGTTCTCTCAGCCTCTGCTCACTTAAGAGACTCCAGTCTCCAAATCACTTCAGTGCTCCTTTGCTGGGCTCTTCCCAGCAGCTCCATCTCTCTCTTGTGCTGAGAAGCCCAGAACTGAACACAGTGCTCCGTGTGTGGCCTCACCAGTGATGAGCAGAGGGCAAGGATCACTCCAGGAGCTGCTGGCAACGCTCCCAGTGCAGCCCAGGACTCAGCTGGCTGCCTTTGCTGCCCAGCCACGCTGCTGCCTCACCCTCAGCTCGCTGTCCCCAAGACCCTCAGGTCCTTTTCTGCCAGACTGCTGCAGAGCTGGTGACCTTTAGGGTGTACTGCTGTGTGGGGCTGTTCATCCCGAGTGAAAGACCTTGTACGTCCTCTTGTTGAACTTCATGAGGGTCCTTCCAGTCCCTTTCTCAGCCTGCTGAGGTCCCTCTGGTGTACCAGCCGCTCCCCCAGGTTTTGCAGATGATTAATAAAGATATTAAACAGGCCTGGACCCAGAATTGACCCCTGGTGTACACTGATGGTTACTGGCCTCCAACTCAACTCTCTGGGCCTGGCTGTTCAGCCAGTTTTCAGTCCACTCACTGCCTGCTTATCCAATCCCTGCTTCATCAGCTTCCCCATGAGGTATTTGTGGGAGATGGTGTCAAAAGCCTGGAGTGCAGGTAGACAATATCCACTGTTCCCCCTGGTCTGCCAAGCCAGTCATTTCACCACAGGTGATGAAGCACAGCTGCCCCTTGGTGAAGCCCAGGGACTACACTTGATGATTGAATTGTCCTTCATATGCCTGGGAGTGGTTCCTAGAAGTAGCTGCTGCATCACTTTCTCGAGGGTGAAGGGAGGCTGACTGGTCTGTAGCTCCTGAGATCTTCCTTCTTTTTCAAGATCTGCTTTCCTTCAGTCTTTGAGCCAGGACTGGTCAAAGACAGCAGGGAATGGCCTCGCTGTGACATGAGCCCACTCATCCCATCTTGGTCCATGGATTTGTGCATGTCTAGGTTCCTTGAGTGTTCTCTGACCTCATCCTCTTCCACCAAGGGTGCATCTTCCTTGCTCTGGGCTTTCCCCTGGTTTCTGGGGTCCCTTGCCTCATTCAGCCCCAGGCCCTCATGGTTCCTCCTCTTTCCTTTGTCACCTGGGTACGTAGAGAATCCTTTCTTGTCTCTGACATCCTTGGCTGGACTCAGTTCCAGTTGGGTTTTGGCTTTCCTCTCTTCATCCCTGCATGCTGGGAGAGTTTCCCTCTGTTCCTGCCAGGTTACCTGTCCCTGCTCCCACCTTCCACGTGTCTCCTTTCTGCAGTTGTGTTTGGAGCTCCTGGTTCATCCATGTTGCCCTGCTGGCATTTTTTCCTGGCTTGGGATGCTAGTTAGGGTGGAGTATTCTTGAACTTTGAGGAGGTGACTCTTGAATATTAACCATCCTTTTTGCCCTGACTGCATCCCCCCACCAGAGGCCTGTAGACACTTTTAGACTCATAGCCTCATTAAGGTTGAAAATTCCTCCAAGATCCTCAAATCCAAACATCAGCAAACACCACCGTGCCCAAAGAGTTCCTGGTGCTGTCACTGGAGCAGCAATGGGCAATAGTCAAAGGGTTGCACAAGCCTCCCAGTCCCTCCACAACACCCCAGTCCACGTCCCCAGCCAGCAGAAGGCTCTGGGTGAGGGCCAGGTCGGTGTCCCTGTCCCCAGCAGCAGGAAGTGACCCACTCCTGTCACCTGCTGCTTCCTCCTGAGGCTCTTGCATTAATGAGGGTCAGGGCCCACGTGGGCTGTTGGAAGGTGTAGCTGGCTCCTGCTCAGCTCTGAGGGTGGTGGACCTGTTCTGTAGGTGTGTTTAGGTGAGGAGGAGCCATCTTGGTGCCAGAAGGCACCACCTTCCACGCTTCCCCAGAGGCTGCACCTACATTATCCTGGGAAGGAGTGCTGCCTGTGTGTGCTGCAGCCCGTGCCTGGGGCTCTCCAGGCTCTTCTGTCCCTGTCCCTTCCATCTTGGATTGTTGATGATTCTTCTCCGTGTGTGGAGACACGAGGCTTGATTCCATTTCAGAAGGCTGATTTATTATGTTAGATATTATATTAAAATGCTACATTAAGACTATACTAAAAGAACAGAGAGATCAGAAGGTTCAACAAGAACAGAACAGAATAACAAAAATCCTGTGACTGCTCACAGCCTTGGCACAGGTGGCTGTGATTGGTCATCAATGGAAAACAATCCACATGGACCAATCCCAGCTGCACCTGTTGCATTCCACAGCAGCAGATAGGAATTGTTTACATTTCTCTCCTGAGGCTCCTCAGCTTCTCAGGAGAGGAAAAATCCCAGCAAAGGATTTTCCATAATATCATGGCTACATTGGATGACTGTCCCACAGCTCCTCCACACAGCTCTTCAGGCTGGGTGCTCGGGTGGTGTCGCAGGTGGGCAGGAATGGGAATGACCTCGTTTTGGTAAGGCGAGAGGTACAGGAAGGAGGCACAAAAACGTTCAGTGTAAGAAATGGGTCCTTGTCCACTGCAGGAGGCTTGGGGTGTGCATGCCCCGGGTGGGGACGCGGTGGCAGTGCTGGGTGTGGCCGGGCTGTGACATCTGTCCCTCCCCTGCAGAGAAGCAGCGCCGAGAAGAGCCCCCGTGGCCCCGGCACGCCGAGCAGAGCCGCCCCCTCCTCCGAGAGCACGCCGCTCCTGCAGGACTGCGACAGCCCCAGCCAGCAGGGACCCGAGGCCTGAGCCAGCCCCTGGGACAGCCTCCTGGTGGGACAGCTCCCCACTGGGACACGGATCCCACTGGGACATGGGTCCTACTGGGACATCTTCACACTGGGACAGCCCCCCACTGGGACACACTTTCCATCGGGATACCCTCCCACTGGGATGGCTCCCCAGTGGGACACACTTCCCATGGGACATGCTTCCCACTGGGACACAATTCCCATAGGATACGGATCCCACTGGGACACAATTCCCATGGGACATGCTTCCCACTGGGACATGGATCCCACTGGGACACAATTCCCATGGGACATGCTTCCCACTGGGACACGAATCCCACTGGGACATGACTTCCCCTGGGACACCCTCCCACTGGGACACAGCCAGGAGCAGGTGACACTGCTTTGGATCCCCAGAGCCCTCTGGAAGGTGAAGTCCTGGACAGCTCAGCAGAGATCCTGCCCAGCACAGCGAAGCCGTGGGATGTTCCTGCTGCTCAGCATTCCTGCTCATCCAGAAACCTCAACACCATGTTCAAGAACCCTTTTGTCCCCAAGGGCCAGCCTGAGCCACTGCCCTTGTCTCCGGTGGAATGAAGATGGTTGCTGACTGATCTGAGAAGTTATTTGCAATTTAAAACTGCCTATTGCTAGGGATAAAAGGCACTTTAATGGCAGCCTGTAAAATAAATGAGGTTTGTATAGGTAGCACTGATGGGATTTAGTGATCTCTTTAAAAGCCACTGTTCATTTCTCCAAATGGGGCACGCTGTCCTGGAGCCACTCACAGTTTTATTGCCACTTGATGTAACTGGACTATGCTGCAAATCATTTCTGGGTGCTGTCACTGCAGTGCTGTCTCTTCCCACAGTACCTGGAGCCTGCCTGGGGTTGCTCCAGCCTTGGCACGTGTTGCAGAGTAGTGGTGACTTTGAGAGCCCCAGTCCTGTGCCATGACCTTGTGCTCCACAGCCATTCCAGCTCTCTGCCCTGTTACTTAACCTCTCCTGGCTGTGTGAGATGAGCCTTGGCAGGAGCTCGTGGTACATCTGAGCTGTCACTCAGCTCCTGGCAGTTGTCCCTGCTGCCTGCTCAGCCATCTGGGATCAATCAGCTCCTGTGGCCGTGGGCACTGGGAGGCACTGCTCACACTGGCCAGGGGAAGGGGGAGGCTTGGCCCTGTCCTTGGCGTGTTCATGAAGATATTTGTGCTTTTGAGAAGCAGGAATATGTGCAATCATGAAAGTAACAATGGCCTTAAGTAGGGTTTGATTAAAGTATTGCAGATTTCTGAAATGGTGTGTTGGGTGTCCTGGGGCTGGATGTTACCTGGGGGTGGGTGGTCTTGGGCCACACTTCCATGGGAAGGAACCCCAAAGCCTGGGAATATTTTTGGAAAATGACTAGCCTGTAGTTGTCTACCACATCTGCCTTGCCCACTTCCAGCCAGGAGTTTGGGAAAACCAAAGGGGCCAGTGCTGGAGCATCTGAAAGGATGAGACAGAGGTGGGGAATGTCTGCTCTGGCTTGGAGCAGAGGACTTGTAGCACTGTGTGTGACATGGATGCTCGTGGGCTCTGGAAACCTTTGTCCAGGACAGCCCTGTGACTTTCTAGTGGGGTAAGCAACACTTTTCTCTTACACCTCCATTCCTCTCACTGGGCAGGAGGAGCACAGGACACAAACCCAGTTCTGGGCCAGTGCATTCCTTGCTGGCCATGTCCCAGTCCTGCAGTGGGCCGAGGCTGCCTGACCATGGAATCAGCAGTGATGGAGCCCAGCTCACACAGGGAAAGGTGGCACTTTGGTCCGTGGGCTGACTCCCCTCCGTGCCTGAAGTGTCCTGCAGGTGTGACAGTCCTTCTCGTGGCCACAACTGCTGGCTTATCTCCGTGGCACAAATCCCCACTGAGAGGGATTCTTAAACTGCAGCTGTGAACTCGCTCTGGCCTTGAATCCGAATGCATCCATGGGCAAAGAGCATCTCCCGCTGGAGCCGGGAGTGGGGACAGCAGAGGGTACAGCATGGTGGGCTCCCTGTGCCAGGCTTTGACGACGTTACGGTGCCAGCTGCGGTCGGGCAAGCGAACAGGAACAAAGCACGGCAGCACCGCTCTGGGCACAAGCCCTGGCGGGTGTTTTTTGGGGTTTTTTTTTTTGTGGTTTTGCAGCAGAACGCGGGGCGAGAGCTCCTCCCGTCCTGCGACGGGATCGCGGCTCGGGGAGCGCGGCGCTGCAGCGCTGCCCGGAGACCGCCAGAGGGCGCTGACAGGGGTCTGATCCTGGGGGACAGAGGGGACAGAGGGACCCAGGAACGGTGGGAACAGAGGGTCTGGTCCTGGGGGACAGCAAGACCCAGGAATGGGGGTAAAGGAGTTCTGATCCTGGGGGACAGGGGGTTCTGGTCCATGGGGAACACAGGATCTGATCCTGGGGGACAGAGGGTTTCATCCTGGGAGACAGGGAGGTCTGATCCTTGGGGGACAGAAGGACCTGGACACGGCGGGGACAGTGGTTCTGATCCTGGGGACACGGGTTCTGACCCTGGGGGGCACGGAACCCCGGGCACGGTCAGAGACCCTCGGCACTGATCTCTGTCCCAAACCCCGCCGTGTGTCTGTCCATTGGCACACAGCACTCCGGTTGTTTTCCTCCTGTACTTCAGTCACCTTTGTTGGCTGCCTGTGACTTTTCCGACTCGTTTTAAAATGCTCCTCACAGCGCCGAGTCCGTCCCCGGCCCTGAGTCACTGTCCCTTGCCAATTCCCCCCGTACAGGGCGTTCAGGGCTGTCCCTGGTGCTGCGCCCTCCCTGCCTGTGCCAGGCCAGGTTGAAATCCTTCACCCTCTCCCGAGGGTTTTAATTGGCCCCCACAGGCTCAGTTATCATCACAACCATCTCGATTTACTGTGGGAGCCGCCCTTCACCCGGCCTGGCACAGCCACGGGAAATGAACGAGTCATCTCCATCCTCCAGGCATCCATCACCCAGGGGGAACTGTCAGGGCTTGGTGTCCCCCAGCATGTGACAGAGGCTCTGCTGTCTCCTCTGGAAGAGAGGAAAGAGATAAAAAGAGATTACACAGCCCTCTGCATCCCCACTGGGGCTGGGGTGCTTTTATAAATGCAGCATGGAGGATTTCCCATTCCCTGGGAATTCCTTTTTCCATTCCCACCTTTCCTGAAGCACCCCCAGCCTGGCCATGCCCTGGGGCTGCAGGGATCAGGGGACAGTGCAGAGCCTGCTGGAGCAGGAGCAATCTCTGTGTTACCCCCTTCACCTGTGCCCATCCCTGCCAGGTGCTCCCCGTTAGCTGTGCTGGGCTAAAACCCTGCTGGGCACAGAGAGCTCTGCCGTGAGCTCCAGCCTCTGCTCTGTGCCTGCTCTGCTGCCCTCACGGCAGCCAGGTCTGCTCCTGGGCTGTGGCTCTGCCCTCCTGCACACAAAGCTCCTCCAGCAGTGCTCAGCTCTCCAGTGATGCAGGGTGAGTGGGGCTGGGGTGGTTGTGGGCAGATGGGTCTCCTGGGGCAGAGCTCAGGCTCTTCTTGCTTGAAAAAAATGCCAAAAAAACCCCAAAATATCCCAAAACAAAGCAACCAGAGAATGTGGAGCTGTTGCAGTTATAGGGGTGCTATGGTGGTGTTTGATGGGAAGTGTTTTCCTTCCTGGCAGCTGCAGGGTACCCAGCTTTGTGGGACTGCAGCACCCAAAACCCAGACAAGAGATGCCTGGAGGAGATGCAGTGACTCGTGGTACCTGGTTTCTCTTGTGTTTGGCCACAATGAGCCTCTCTGTCTGGTTCAGGAGGAGAGCCTGGGCCGTGCCTGGGCACTGCAGGGTTTGCCTGTGCCCCTCTGCTGCTTGGTTTAACCCTTGGCCAGGGCTCTGTGGTGCAGGATTCAGCTTAAACCCATCCCCTCCTGTGTGCAGCTTGGGGCTCAGCCTGGGCCCTGCTCCCCAGGCTGCCTGAGGGGCTCTGTGCTGTTTTTTTAAGCTCCTTCCCAGTGTGGCACAGAGCTGGAGGTGCTGGCAGTGCCCTGCCCTCTGTGCTTGGCCAGCCCAGCTCCGTGCAGCCTCTGCTGTCACCCAGGAGGTGCCCAGCACTGCAGGGATCCCTGTCCCCGCTGCCCAGGGGTGACCCCAGCATTGTCCCTGGGGTGAGCCCTGCCCTGGGTACCCCCTGCCCTCGTGGGAATGGGTTGAGTCCCGTGCTGGGTGTGTTTTTGTGCCAGGGATCAGAGCGACTCTGCAGGGTTTGGCAGAGGAGCCTGGGCTCTCAGGGCTGTGTTGGATGTTAAACTTCACCGTGCTTAATGTCTCATTGAAGGATTGTGACCAAATGTCCTTCCACCTCCTGCTCTTGAGGGCACAGGAGCTTCGTTTTATTGCCTTGCCCACCACCAGAGTCAGGGCTGGACCATTTCTGGGAATCAGCCTGGCTGTGCACAAGTTCCTCCACCCAGGGCTGCCAGAAATTCTCCTGCCCTTCAAAAAGGGAAACAAAACCTCCTGTACTTCTTGCTCTGGGCTGTTGTTCTCACTGAGGTGTCCCAGTGCCCTGGCAGTGAGAGCCAGGGGCTCAGCCCGTGCACAGAGCATCCCTTTGGGCTGCCCCATCCTCGCTGCTGTGGGCACAGGGCTTCCCAAATCACCCTAGTGCCCCCTCCTCGTGTGCCAAACCTCAGCTCTGTTGGGCCAAACCAGACTGCAGCCCCACGTGGAGCTCCTGTTTCCCCTCCCCATCCTGGAGGGAAATGCCCACATTCCAGCAGGGAGCTCCCACTGGAGCCCAGCCTGGGGGGCTCGGGGTGGTGATGTGCAGCCAGCTCGGATCCGTGCTCCCTGTGCTTGGAGGCTCCCTGGGAGCACGAGAAACAATTCCTAAAAAGGAGCAGCCAGATGGAAAATGGATACCAAATGGTGCTCTCAGTCCCTTGAGGAACAAGGTTTGATCCCTCAGCCTGTGCTTCCTGGGGCTTAGGACAGAGGCACACAATGCTGTTTTAGAGGAGTTTCTTTTTATAAAGTTTATTATTTCCCTCCTTTTGGAAGTTCCTGATTTTCCCAGATATGAGCTACCTTCAGATTTGGTGCTGCTGGTCCAAGCTTTGCTGCTTTGGGTGTGCGTGGTGTGTGCAGGGTGAGGATGAGGAGGATGAGAGCTGTGCCCAGCCCTTCCCCAGCTGCTTTGTGGGTTCTGCAGGAGCAGGGACCATCCCCAGCAGC